GTGGCCTCATGGGATAGTAAAGTGTCCATCAGATGTGCAGTAGTAGGTCATCTGTGTACTTTTCACATATAAATACTGTTTATGAATTCGGATGTACTACTCTTTCACATATACTGATGTTGGCCTACTATGTAATAGGGAAGCATGTGCATTCGGATGCAGCTGTCGTCTTGACATGCTAACGTTAAGACACTAGCATTGTTTGCAGTCAAACTGAGAATTTGGGGGTGGTTCAGATAATTAGCTTTGCAGTGTCTAAATAATTAGAGGTTGTGTACTACACAGAGGAAAACAACTGGAAAACATTGAAATAAAATCAGCTGGAGTCGTATAATTAGTCACATCTCAAACCACTATGAATTGTTTCTCAACACCTTGGACCGCCTTCCTCACCTCAGCTGGAATCTGATTGGTTTGTGCTGTTGATTGACAGTTCTAACTTTTCTTTGCATATATTTCCTCATTGCTTGAAAAGGAATGTGTGGTGTTTCAGTATAGTGTGTGAAGTGCTGTCTATGGCGTAGTTCCCATAATTGGTCTTTCGCGTGGATCGTCCGAAAGGAAGAATTTGATATTAATTGCTCTTGGGTTCAGTCCGGAGCAGTATTGTGATAAAGGCCAGTGTCAGCCTTCAGGAAGACATTTTAGTGTCTTGCAGTTCAAGCTGTGACCAGATTGAAGGTTGTTTTTGTAACACTTCACATGCGGTTCATCTCTGAATTGAGAATGATTATTCATAATCATCTCTGGGTGCATTTGAACATCAGTTTTACTGGATTAAAAGAAAGTTAAAAGGTAGTTTAAAAGCTATAATCGCTTATCTCGCTGCTGAAACTACAAAGGCTATGTTCAGAGTAGAGCAGTTCAGTTTGTTTCTGTTCAGTAGCTTGTCCTAAAAAGAGAATTAGCATTTTCTAGCCATGGTTTCCCTCAGGATTTTCCTGATATGATGTTATTTTATTTAGGTCCTTTGCTGGTTTATGCTGGTCCTTTGCTGGTTTAAGCTGGTCCTTTGCTGGTTTACGCTGGTCCTTTGCTGGTTTAAGCTGGTCCTTTGCTGGTTTACGCTGGTCCTTTGCTGGTTTAAGCTGGTCCTTTGCTGGTTTATGCTGGTCCTTTTGCTGGTTTATGCTGGTCCTTTGCCATAATTTCCTAAATACAAAGCACATGCAGGTACGGCGAGTTTGAGCTTGAGCTTGTCATTTGTGATTCTCAGGTTTTTGGTTTTTGTGAAGTGAGGGATTCCTGTGTGGTCAATGAAGGAGGAGAAAAGATGGATGAGAAGGGGGAAGCCGACGACAGCCGCTGTAAATACAGGGCGTCAGACCACAGAGTGGGAGTGATTATGGCAGATGTATTTCTGCAGATGTCTCTATTCCTGCTGCGTCTGACTCGCTCCACGCACACACAGAGATTGATTGAGAGCAGTGGTTTGGACAGACTCTCGCTGGGCTGTGTGGGTAATGGCTGTCTGTGACTCACCGTGACCTAACGGCTCCTCACACAGCACAGACACACTGACTAAAACACTGCACACAAAACTCGCCAGGCTCTTACCAATGGCCTGGTAACATGTTACACTTATAGAGGATGTTTTTGCAAATGTTACCATGGTGATACTATGCTGCTTTAAAATATTCACCATGGAAATACCATGCTGTTTTTGGACATTCACCATGATAATACCATGTTTTGGGGATGTGCACAATAGTAATATCATTTTTGACAAATATTTTGCAATTATATATATATATATATTCATGTATGTTTTACATTTACCATGGTAATTCCATGCTGTTTTGGATATTTACCATGGTAATACCATGTCTTTTGCAAATATATCATCATGGTAGCACTTTATTTTACAGTCCTGTTACTCATGTACATACTATGTACTTATTATAGTAATTACAATAACTAGGTAATAACCCTGAACCTAACCCTACCCCATGTAGTTACCTTATATTACAGTACTTTCTTATGTAGTAGGGGTTGCACCGACTAATCGTTAGGGCCCTGAACATTTTCAGAAATGGAGCCATCGCAAAAACATCTCGTGGTTGCCATGGCGACCATTTTACTTTCCTCCATAACCAAATTATGTATTTTGTGTCATATCTCCTGAACCAAACATGATAACACAGAAAAGGTGATGTCTGCTGCTATGTTTTGATGGTCAAGGATTACAATGATACCATATACAGCAACATAAACTGTTCAGGTAAAGAGTTAATGGTGAAATTAGCAATGTGAAAAGGAAATAACAGTATATTTACAATAGTTCATATTATGGCTATTAATTTTTTCTTTCTTTGATAATTAACTAATATTTTATTCAATAGTACAATAAAAGATTGTTTTAATTAATTAATTATTAATTTGTTACATTTATATAGCACTTTATGACAGATTTATGCGACAGATTTATGACAGCGCTCGGGCTGGGCTTCGGACCAATTTTCACGTCATAGTTCAGGCTGGACTGGGACAAAAAAATCGGCCCAGGCATTTTTTGGTCCAGGCGGCCCACCACCATTTATTATATGTGACCGTGGACCACAAAACCAGTCTTAAGTCACTTGGGCATATTTTTAGCAATAGCAAAAAAAAAAAAAAAAAAACATTGTATGGGTCAAAATTATCGATTTTTCTTTTATGCCAAAAATCATTAGGATATTAAGTAAAGATCATGTTCCATGAAGATATTTTGTACATTTCCTACCGTAAATATATCAAAACTTAATTTTTGATTAGTAATATGCATTGCTAAGAACTTCATTTTGGACAACTTTAAAGGCGATTTTCTTAGTATTTAGATTTTTTTGCACCCTCAGATTCCAGATTTTCAAATAGTTGTATCTCGGCCATATATTGTCCTATCCTCACAAACCATACATCAATGGAAAGCTTATTTATTCAGCTTTGAGATGGTGTACAAATTGATTGATTGGTTTTGTGGTCCAGGGTCACATATATGATATACACTACCAGTCAAAAGTTTTTGAACAGTAATATTTTT